GCAAGCCAAACCCTTGGGGCTGGCCCCATGGTCCAGCTCATCCGAGTCGGACTCCTCTTTCTTCTTCAGGGGAATGGTGGATGGGGAACCGTTTATGCCCCCAGCATCGCTGGTTTCAAAGGGCTGCGGGAAAGCTGGCGGGAGGCTCTCGGTGCTCTCTCCAGCTGGGTCTTTGCAGTCTGGCGATGGGGCAGGAGATGGGGTGGGGGATGGCGAGAGGGAGGGCACAGAGAGGGTTTTCTCTTTCGGTTTGCTGTCCCGGGGCCTGTCTATCAGATCCGCGGAGTTCTCCTCATTGGGATCGGGGCTGAAGTGGGAAAAGATGTCCAGGGGCTTTGCTCCTTTCTCCTTTGTCACCCAGCACTCGCCGTTGGACGATGCCACCGCTTCCCCTGGCCTGGTGGGGGGGGACCTGGGGATCTCGGGCGCGCCAAAGCCGTTCTGCAGCAGGCGGGGCCCGGGCAGGTGCCCATCTTTGCTACGGCCGTCCAAGGGGTCGAGTTGCTCCGGGCAGACAGTGTTCTTCACAATCACACTCACAGCAGTGATATCCGCATGGGGGAGGACATGGTCGGGGGCCCCGGGCTCCCCGGGCACCGGCTTGATGTGAGCGTCGGCCTCCTCGTGGCCTGAATGGATGGCCTCGTTGGTGTCGATGTCTGGAATATCGAAGGCTGCCAAGAGGTCATCAAAATCCGGGGTCTTCATGTCACCCATGGTGAAGAATCCAGCAGAGCCTAAGAAAAGGAAGAGAGGGAGTTTAATATCACAGCACAGACCACGCTGGCGACACAGAGCAGCTGGCACACTAATCTCCACTCGGCCTTGGGTTCTGGCCCGCTTAGGGTACTTCTCTCCACAACCCGTGCAGCAGGGGGGCTGCTACCCTATCGTGCAGAGGGAGAACTGAGGCAGAGGCATTTAGGGCATGTCTCGACTGAACTCCCAGGGGACGACTGCAGCCCAGAGCCATACACACGCTGACCTTAATCTCGCTTGCAGGTGGTGCAGTAGTGAAGCTGTGTGGCACAGATGGGTTAGCTCTGAGTAGTTCCCCAGGGCTCCAGGCATGGTTTTTACAGCCTTCTCTGGAGCCCACCTCATTGGGGCTTCCCTACTCAGGGACCTGAGCTAGCTCCAATCTTACCAGCTTGGGTATGACTACACCTAGAACCGCAGTAGAGACGCAGCCCTTTTGACTTGTTCAGGGCAGGGATGCAAAATCCTGTTGAATTGGTTAACTGGCTAACCAATTAAAGGGGGGGGTAAGAGGGGTGTACTCCCCCAACTTGAGGCAGGGGCTACACCAGCAAGGATGCCTGTCTATGACAGGCCCCCCCACGGAGCTGGAGAAGCCCCTTGCCCATGCTCCTGCCCCCACCAGCTAACCTTAACTGGTAAGCACCCCTGTTTAGGGTGAGTCTTACTGGCTAACCTTTACTTCCCTAATCCAAGGTCACCCAGGAGGCCTGTGGCTGGGGGGGGAGGAGGGAGTATCGAACCTGATTCTCCTAAGTCCCAGGCCAACCTTTGCTTTCTGAACTCTTGGGCCTCTCACCACTTTGCCCCTCTCCGCTGCTGTTTGTTGCTTTTTATTTTTATTGGTAAAATGGGGATAAGCACCACCCTGCCTCACATGGGAGCCATGAGGGTTTGTTCACGCAGCAAGCGGAGGGTTAATGTGATTTCTACGAGCTTGAAAAGCCCACCCAGCCACCGTGGGCTCAAAGATAAACCACAGGAAGTACCAAGTATACGACTGCTCCAAAAATCCCATCAAACCCCCAAATCCCACTATTCACAAATCTAGTGTCACGTCTGGTGCTTGGATCCTACGAAGAAAATGCTTGTCAGAATCCCCGAGACGATGAAAAAAATTCTTTACTGCCTCTTGGAACAGTTCTCAGTGGACGGTAGACATGTGTCAGGGGAAACTTGGTTTAGTCCAAAATCCCAATTTTTTAACACCACTTTGATGTAAAAATTTCAACCAATTCAAGAGAAAATAATAGAACAAATCTGCCTCCCTCATTGAAAAGGGGCTACACAGTCTGTGTGGGCGGAGTTCCACTCATCTGTTTGACACCGTACGTGCTTATGCCAGAATGTGACTTATGCATCTACCACCTATTAGCAGCAACTGTCGGCCTATTGGAATATTGTGCTATAAAGCCACATCTAGCCCTCTTACTCCCCAAGGAACAACAGAAATATACATGAAGTTTCCTAGAAGAATTACCCCTTTGATGGGATAGCTTTGTATGAATAATTGGCAAAAAACCCGGTGAACACCAAAATGCTTAAAAAACCCAATTCTAAGATGACATGACAAGATCTTCCATGATTTGGCCAATATTTCAGACCAAGCGCTCAGTACAGGTTGGACCCCCTAAATCCAGGATTCTCTGGTCTGGCAACATCTGTGGTCCAGGCACGGCAGCAGCAGGGCAGCCGCAGAGCTCTGGCTCCAGAAAGCCGCGGCTGGGGAGCTCCATCCCTGGAGAGCCGGTCTGGAGCCAAGTCCAAGACCTGTAGCAGCAAGACTTGAGCAGAGCCATTTGGAAGGAGGGGCAGTGTCCTGGGAGGCTGGTGGCAGGGGACCTACTCTGAGCCCACAAATTCCCTCATTTGGGACAGGTCAGACCAGAGAGGTCCAATATGCAGCTGTTTGTCCGTGCCTCCTTCATGCTTGTAAAACTCTTTCAAGGTTTTGAACAAGTAGATGGATTCGTCACCCCTCATCTTAGCTCCCAGGGAAGTGTCAGATTATGAGCTCATTCCACTAAAAAGTTAAGGGGAGGCATTTAAAAATCCACCCACCTGGGCAACATGGCTAAGCCAACCTAAGCAGACAGCCCTAGGCCACAGGAAGAATTCATCCTGTCAGCACAGATAACGTCTACACTGTGCCACTGCAGCATCTGAAGTGCAGACAAGCCCTATGACTATCAGTAAGCAGCAAGTTGTTCCGAGTCCCCATAAACACATATGTGAGCAAAACCATTCTGTCTCCCTTGGTTCATCGGGGAGAGGACAAGTTTCTCAGAAGAGCCCTTGTTGGTCTGAAGACTGATGTTCTGTTTTAAAACTGGCGCAGGCAGGCATGTGGTCTACATGGCTGGCGGGAAGCAACAGCGACTCTAGCAGAGGGGCGCACCAAGAGAGCGGTCTCTCACAGCACACCAAGGGAAAGCTTCCTAACGAAGAAATTACAGCACATGCTGACAGATGGCAAAGTCGCATCACGCAAAGAACACAGCCACGGAGCATGCACATCAGTGCCTGAGCGGGTTCTGTTGCCACTCGGCACACAGCGGATTGTGGACTGATACTAACCTAGATTTAGGCTGCTCGTGTTCCAAACTTTCAGGGCTCTCAACCATTGTTCTCAGACGTCTTCCGGGGTACGTCTAGACTACAAGCCTCTTTCGAAAGAGATCATCTAGGCAGAAACAACACTTTCAAAAAAGCGATCTGCTTTTTCCAAAGAGCGCACCCAGGCAATCTGGACACACTGTTTCGAAAAAACCCTGTTTGCGCTCAAGAACGCCTTTTTTTCCAAAAGAGCTCTTTCGAGAAAAGGCGTTCTTCCTCGCAAAATGAGGTTTTCAATTTAATTTCGAAAGAATGCGACGGCAGTCTAGACGCAGGTGAAGTTTTTTCGGAAAAAAAAGCTACTTTTTTTAAAAAACTGTGTAGTCTAAACACAACCCCAGAGAGTACATCAACTCATCTAGAGATTTGCCTGGTTTTACAACAGGCTACCTAATAGGGATGTAAAAGCCCATTTAATCTGTTAACTGGTTAAACGTTAAGATGAACTGGTTAACCGATTAAACCGAATCCTGCGGGCGGGGAGCCACTCCAGCCCAACTGCAGCCGCCCTGCCATGGCCCCGGAAGACCATGGACTGCTCTCAGGCGCCGGTTAACTGGTTACCATAAGCATCATACACCATACTCGCAGCTGTCATTGGCTGGGAACAAGAAGCTGTGGCCAATGGGAGTTACAGGGGCACCGCCTGCAGAAAGGAAGTACAAAGAGCCACATGCCCGCCCCACATCCCATGACTCGTTCACATCCCCACTACCTAAAAAGCGCTAGTGAAGTCAATACAAACTACAATTTCATACGACTCGTTTCTACTTCCCTATATACTGAATGTGAGTACAATATTTATATTCTACTGGATGTATAATTGTATGGTAAAAATGAGAAAGTCAGCAATTTTTCAGTAATAGGGACACTTTTGTATTTTTATGTCCGATTTTGTAAGTAGTTTAAGTGAGGTGAAACTTGGGGGTATGCAAGACAGATCAGAGTCCTGAAAGGGATAGAGGAGTCCATAGAGGTTGAGAGCCACTGATGTAGAAGGGCACCACAGATACTCCTATGTGATGGCACCAAACCAAAGGCTAGGACCAAAACATGGCCATTATGGTGCAGGCATGAGGCTACCTGCAGCAGGTCACTGCATAAGCCATTTCCCACGATAGGCACACGGGCAACTGTGGATGCAGGTACTTGGCCCAGGAGCGTTCCAAGAACATGCTTAAGTATGATGTAGACATGGTGGCCACCACATGCGGAGCCCAAACTGGGCTAAGAAACCAAGCTCTTGAGTTTCCGCTCCACCTGTTTTGATACATGGTTTGGTCTCACTCATGTCAGCCAGACCTCATTAGAAACCAATTTCTCTGCGGACTGAGCTTAGGTAGGGTTTCAAGACCACTAGGAAAGCCATTGTAAGCTTAGTAAGTAGGTGTAGTTTAGTTATATTTTTAAGCCTCCAGATAGGTCATTCCAAGGGGATCTCTGTTTGGTCCCTTGACCACCACCATACTCCACCAATGACATCAATCCACATGGGGTGAGCTTCATGTCAGTTGTTCTCTCCCAATGCACAGCCAGCTAGCCCTGCCCTGAGAAAGAGGTACCAGGGTGTGTCTACACAGCCAACATGGGTTCACGGGGCTCAGGCTAAGGGGTGGCGATGTTGGTGTAGACATGAGCTTTGGGACCCTCCCACAGCACAGGAGGGAGTATATGGGGCTGGCTATGGGAGGGGGCCCAGTGTACAGGAGGGATCGGCAGTTACTTCAAGCAGCACTAGCCCCACACAGCTCCTGGCAGGGGCTTATGTGCCCCTCGGGGGGAGGGGGAGCATGTGCCTCTTTGTGCTGCCTCTGTGCAAACACTGCTCTCGCAACTCCCATTGGCCACAGTTCCTTGTTCCCAGCCAATGGGAGCTGTAGGGATGGTGCTTGCAGACAGGAGCAGAGCACAGAAACCTCTGCTCTCTCCACCACTCTGGCCTGTGGGTAGGTCATGGGGTGGGGGCAGGCAGGCAGGGAGCCTGCCTTAGCAGCAGTCCCACTGCCCCATAGGAGCCGCTGCCGGCTCGCAGGCCTTGCAGTGAAGAACACTGCCCTAGAAGTCTGGCATTTGTATCAGAAGAGGCGCAAATGAAGGTGGCGAGTGTGGCAAACAGTTGGTTCTGAGTCCTCGTTACACTTGAAAGGGACGAGCATGAAAAGCCATGCAGGGCAGGGGACTGGATTACAGTCTACGAGATCAGGAAGGGCTTAGATGTGAGGAAAGGAAACGGCCGGGAGGCACCAGGGGCGACAGAGAACGGACTGAAATGACAAAAGGGAAAATTTAAACCAACAGCAGAACCACGTCCCTGACACGGAGACTTATTAAGGCTCTGGAGTCCTCTCCTCAGGGATTAGGA